GGGATGGGGGGGGGGGTGCTTTATTTTTTTTAGAGGGTTGACTGACATTTAGCCGGAAGTCACGTGGGTGCTTTCGCCAACCGAGCAACGTGCAATATTTATCGGTAATTAAATAGTCGTTTAATTAATCAGCCACCCCCTACCTCCGCTGCAAATTATTGAATAAGAATAATGCTGGCTATTACGTACGGCTGGTATCTGCCTAAATGCCCAATGATTTATGACGTAACTGATACACGGGGTGCGCGTGGGCTGGTTACCGTTTTTAAAAATCATCCCCTACGCTCCATTTGGCCATTAACGAAAATCACGATAAAATCAATTGCCGTCGCTTACGTTCTCCTGTGAATTATCCAAGGGGCTCGTGACTCTTGAACGATAATATCAACCACTCGTATTACCAGGGGGGTTGCTTTTCACCCTTGAGGGATGAAAAGAGCGCAAGGTGAAAGTGGTACGAGGAGGGGTTGGGGGAGAGAGGGGGAAAATGGAAATGGGGAAGTGAGGACTGTGATGGGAGGCCTCTTTAAGATTGACTCGGTGGCCGCCAGAGCGCGCCACTGGCGCTTGATTTTTTTTTATCTTGGCGGTTCTTAAAGAATTTTACAGTCTATGGTCCCAGGGTCTTTCTTCGTTTCTCAAGGAGGTTCGATAAAAAAGAAAAAAAAAATGTCGAGGCATTAGAACGTGATGCGTCACGGTAGGTTAGGTGAGTTGATTCTTCCAAAGCTGAAGGGTTGAAGGGACTAGAGAAATAAAGGTTGTCGTGGCGTGACATTGTCAGAGATAAATGTTGGCAATGGCTGCTATTGTTTCTGACGCTCTTTGTAAGTTGGTAAAAAGTAGGTCACTTTTTTTAAAATTTGCAAAAGCAATAGCCTGTTAGAACAAATTATTTAAAGAGATCTGAGTACGGGAAGGAAATCGTGGAGAAAGTTAATTGATAAAAAATTTATGAAATTTGTAACTTCTTTATCGAGCTGGTTGGATTGGTATCGTGGGAATAGAATTTTTGGAAAATTGCCCGAAAGCGCAAGAATTTTTCTTGGGATTTTTATACGCCACTTTTAGCTGACCTTAGCGAATTAAATTTCACGGGTAACGCAAATGGGGGAGAGGCGGAGAGAGATAAGGAAGGCATTAAGGAAACCGATGGAGAAGAAAAAGATGCCAACTTGGCGAAAAAAAAATAGTGGTTAAATTTTCATATGTCTCTGTCCCTCTTTTAGGTCTCTAGGAAATGTGCTGAATGATAAGAAATTCTTATCGCCTAGGGGGGG